CTGGAGAAGAAAATAATATTTTTCTCTAAAACTAAAGAGTACAATGCTCTGTCAATCTCGTTAAAATAATGACAAGTTCTTGAATAATCATGCAGGTTCATTTACATGACTGTTCATAGAGTATTTTGTTCATTCAAATGTACAAAATATTTACATAATAGTCGTGTTTGTTCCTCGTAGTAATGTCGCCATCACATTTATTTCAATTTGTTGCTTTCCTGCGCAATATACGCTTAGAGACAGGAGAAAGGACTTGGCCAAATGTTCTCAACATTTAGGTAAAACATTAATTTTAACTCAATTCCGTGGTTATTCCGTATTATATTTCCAAAGTAAAACATTTATGTTTAACTAGCTGACCCGACAAATGTTGTTTCACCATATAAGATATTTGTATAATTTCTAAAGAATCCAAATATTGTCATTTCACTGGCAACCCGTTTAGTAATGTTTTTGCGTATAAATAAAACTACTTACAATAAATAATATTCATTTAAAATATCCTATTAAATTTGATTGAATAATCTGTCAATGAGCCGCATGCAATGTTTCATATTAAATTACGCTTAACAAAAAAAGTAAATTGGTAATATGCTAGGTTTCTAGGCGATTTTGAAATAATTTCTCACCTTTCCCACAACCTATAGATTTGCACGAATATTTCAAGACAAACTGGCCAAATCGGCTCAGCCGTTTTCGAGTTTTAGCGAATCTAACATAATATTGAATTACATTTTTATATATGAGATGAAGATTATCTGTAATAATTTGTTGTGTATTAAAATAATACACGGGATTTAATATATTTCTACAAGAAAAAAATAATTTTATTGTATAATTTTCCATTCCACTTTATAGTCATTATACGAGAATTGATATAGCAATGCTTGAGAATAAAAATCAAGAAAAAAGTTCAAGTGCAGTAAACTATATTTTCATAATATTATACAATTTTACTAAAAATTAAAGATACGAAGAAATTAACCGTTAAATACACAAAGTGAGATAATCAAAACATCAAAACTAGATACTAAAATTTCTACTTGGCTGGTACCACAAATGCACCACATACTAAAAATCTATAAAAATATTTATACAAACTCACTAGTACATCAAATGTATTACATTCAACTATTAATGACTACTTGAAACGGTGGTTGAGAGTATTTATAAACACCACTTTTGTTCCCATAAATATTTCTAAAAGAATAAGAAAGTAAAAGCCAAAGACTCATTTAATCTAGAAACGTATTGGTTTTATACTTTTTTTCACGTTATATTGAACAAGAACGAATTGAAACAAATATTATATTACACAATAAATAATAAAACGAATAAAAAATAATAGAAGTTTAATTAAGAAAAAATTGCTTTTATATATAGAATAGATGATCAAATATTTGTATTTTACTACAATATATTATAAATATATTAGTTCGAATAGTTATTACGATTGCACTTTTAGTACGAAAATGTTTAGAATCTCTATAAAACGTGCGTAAAAGTGAGCAATTCTGCGCAGGAAGCCAAGAATGGTGACATTTTTATTACTTCCTCGTAATATATCCTCGAGCTATAAGGGTTAAAAAGCTATTATCAGAGTGTTTATTATATAATCAAAAAGAACCTAATGAAAAGAACTCTGAAGAAATGGATAAAACCGTATTAAAATGTTTTTTGCACTTTGAAGAATAATTATTGCAATAATAATGTTCATAGATATAATTGCTCCTTTATTTTTATTTCCAGAATTGTTATATGTAATAAAATGTAAGCAAAAATTTAAAACAAAGAAATTAAATCATAAATTAAAATTGTTTTCTCGAATAGCCTCAACAAACATGCTCAAAAGAATTAATTTTAGAACTATGAATCTAATAATAAGAATAATATAATCATCATAATATCATTGAGTTTGCATAAAGATCTATAAAAACAAATAATCTTTAATATATATAAAAAAAAAACTTCTGTATCATGCATCAACAACTATCGGATTAATTTTATATACAAGAGTAAGATAATAAAATCTTATGAAAAAATATGTTTGCAGAAAAAATTTAAGGTCACATATATACCAAATAATAAGTTTTTAGGATCTATAAAGTTCAAATATTATTAGGTTAATTAAGCAAATATATTAAACATGTATTATTTCAATATAAATATATGTATCATCCAAAATTGTCCTCCATCCCTGACACTTTTCAAGAAATTATCTAACTATGAGAAATATTAAAAGCCTAGATGCTGACTTAGCTGCATGGTTGAAAATCATATTTCATTTAGGTTATAAAATTTTCAAGTGGAAAAATAAACAGTCATAAGGCTATAAAATTACAAGGAATTACAATTTTATTATAAGTTTCAATTCATGAAAAATTATATGATGAAATTATCTCTGATCAATTGAGAAAATATGAATTACAATTAATCAGATGTTTCTAGAAGATTAAAAATTTATTCCTGTACTCTATAAACTTCATTAAAATTGTTGGAAATAGTATGTATTAGTGAAAAATAATGAGGAAAAAATCAAAAACTGATATTTCTTTTAAGCAAACTCTATTGCAAAACGTAGAGAAAATAAAATATACTTTTATTAGTAAAAAAGTTAAATATACAATGATATTTATTGGCAATATTCAATAAATTTGAACTTTGGCAAACGCCGTAATACATCAAGCCTTAAAGAACAACAATGATCTACAAACAAATAAATAAAATGACTACAAGTATAATACTTATGAAAACTGAATAAAATCCAGATTGACTGTTATATATTTTATATAACAGTTAAGATATTTGCAAGCACTCTGCTATAAAAATGAAATTTAAAAACAAATAGCTTGATATTAATAATTTATTTTAACAGATACATAAACCAGAAATAATAAACCAACAATATTTTAGAATTTAGAAATATTTCTTGATTAATAATCCAGCAGCAGTTTACTAAATTTAAATTCTAAAACATGTAAATGACAGATTAATTTTTAGGCAGGACTATTTAGTTTAAATGCAATGGTAGAATAATAAATTATCTAGAGCAATATTTTTATTACATGTCCTTCATTGACTGAACTACTTTTTAAATACCAATCGCAATTAAAACTGTAAATATTATTAATCGTATGTGGTACTCGCTAAAATTTCATATCAGATGACGATTTATCCGTACATAGTATACAATGTGAATATTATGCATTCCGCAGCATATCAAGATATAATTTTTCATATCAACTTCATATTGATTATCTATGTTTATATAAATAGAAATAATAATCAATAATCGATTTAAGATTGCATATTTTATTGTGTCTGTTTTGAATCTTAAAATGGGTCAAACATCAGTGATTTATTGCAACTAGTTTGCACTTTGGTATCAACGACATATTAAAATGATTAAAAAACACATGCTTGGAATTCACATTCATCATATATGTACATACATTCATGAGTTAAAATACTACTTTGGTTCTAGGAATGCGAGCAGAACATAAAATAGTATTAAAAACACGAAAAATCAAGTTGCTAAAAAATCTTAATTCGTAGTTCATAAATATTTATGTCATCAGTTTTAAATTCCCATATCAAAGTATTATTTCTTATTTCACTTCGATATTTATGTTCCCAAAGTGCGCAATGTTCGATACATCAAATAAACATAAAAGATAACGTGGCATTGCTATAAAATATGTCATATTTATCATACTCTATCTTATCTTATCTTATCTCCTGTTATCTTAAGTCAATGATAAACTAACAGTATAAAATCTAACTGATCTTTATTTATTTGGTAGTTGATTTACATTTCAAGATTCAGTTCATATTCATGATCTAAAATAATATTTATGATCCAAAAAATAATTTACAAAAATTGACTGATTTTATTTTATTTATTGTTGATAAAAGCAACATATTTTAAAAAACAAAAAAAAATATACAAATATTTTAATGCGATTTTATATAAAAACATATGCGAAATAATAATCTTTTGGTTACATGAAAATTATTTTAAATACGCAAAATAAATATAATGCTCAAATTAAGTTTTTATCGATAGATTCCTTTAGGTTTTGCTACCAAGGTTGCAAAACTCTGTATCATTTCTCACCGGTAATTATCCGGAGTTATTAAGCAAAGCTTTTAGAACATAAACGGAAATGAAAATAGACAATATCGAGAAAACGATCTTCATTCTTTAGAAAATATCAGATTAATGTGCAATATTCAAAATTTCAATCATTTGTTGAATTCTAATTTCAAAGCATCCATCAGAAATTCCGAGCCAACAATAAAGCCATTATCTATAATAATTAGTCATAATTAATTTTCTCTTGCATTCTCCAGTGTTAGCATTTCCACGCAAAAAACCGATCGATATTGAGCAAAATAAAGTAGAGCTTTTCATCAAGATTCTCAATGCAACAGGTGCTTTTCAGTAAAAGCTTTCAATTCACATTCAATGGTACAGTAGAACCTGGATTATCCGGACCTCGGTTATACGGATTCGCGATTATCCGGAACTTGCATATTCTGATGTGCATACATATATACATTATACATTAATACATTCTCAATTTTGTCTTTTTGTACACTTGCAAGTTAGATAGTAAAGAGGGTAGTGAAAATCGGAAAATGGTGAAGAGACCGAAAAATGAACTCTTAGAAGAAGCTCTATATTGTTGGTTTTTACAAAAACGATCAACAAATTATTTGTAAGCACCTTTTCTTCTTCATTGATACTTTACGTACCACCTGATTATTTTACCTCATGATTAATATAATATGTATAATGTAATCTAAGAAAATATGTAAGTGTTAATTTTCTAATAAACATCGATTTTTGTTGATATCGATGTATGCATTTGTTATTTTTGATAAACAAAACATTATTCTTCATAATTTGGATTATCCGGATTTTCGATTATCCGGATGCCTATCGACAATTAGTCCGGATAATCGAGGTTCTACTGTACGTGAAAAAATAAACATACCAGGATGGTAACCGTAGCTCCTGTATCGCATTCTGACTTGTTCCCTCATTTTGACTGTGTTTTAATTATTATACTGACACTTATTAATAATTTAAACAATTATCAACAAACGTCCTCATTTAGCACTATATTTGATAAAACAAATGAAAACACAAAAAAATTAGTTGAATTTGAAAATCACTTGTAAAAGAATTGGTGAATTTAGATGACCAATCTTATAAAGAAGTTCGGTGACAGAGTTTATTAATGCACTTCACTGCACAATTTCGATTATAAATTATCTAGTATATGAAAATTAAAACACAATTAATTTATTGTCTAATTATGTACTGATTAGCTGAATATTTTATATTGCACTGAAAATATATCACTGATAACAGTAAATTTTAAAATAGTCCTTAAATTAATATTTATCAATTTTATCATTGAAATTCAATTAAAAATATCTTATCATTACCCAAAAACTAAATTATAATATTGAAAATATAACAACCGTAATGGAATAACACAATTATTTTAATATCACTTTTGAAAATAAATATCACTTTATTAATTTCTCAGCAATTATTCATCATTCATGGAGTTAAGTATGGTGCACATAACCAGGAACAACAAATACAAGAACTTAGCGCAGAAATGATCAGTCCCGTGTATAATAATAAGGAAATGCACCAGGGCACTGCAATACAACACTTTGCTATCACTGATATCGTCGGCCGTCTTCCAAACGCGCATGCATTTAATCACATTAGTGAGTCGGTGTGAATTAGAATTGTAACGGTGTCCGGCTGAAGAAAAGAAGGATCTAGGCCCTCGGTGCATTTATGTACTTTTGTATGATTATTCGAAGGTCTTCACAGTTGCATCGTCTGAGTGACACTGAGGGACCGTGTTAGTGTTACCGACTGTGGACTGGTAGAGTCAAGTAGAGGATACTGTGATAAAGTACAAACGCAAAGAGAACGACGGCGCTGCAAGTGTGTTGGTGCGTGCGTCGACGCATTTCTGTGCATGTAGGGACGGACCGATGGTAAAGGTCGGGCTGCATGCAACATAGTAATAGAATATTTCTCTAATCATTTGTTGCTATTTTAATTATGTATAAATATAATGTTTAATGTGAATCTATCGCTACGTTATAGGGAATAAATGTAAACAAATTTTCTAAATCCGATTTTTCTATATTCATATTTGGTGGTGTATGGCATCGTGCCTTAAGTCAAATTGCTAGAACTTCCCGTACTAAAAATTAATTTTTTAAAATTAAATATGTTTTAAACTTGGAAAAAAACAGATTTTTGAGAAATTTTAAATTTTTGAAAAAAATATTTTGGAAAAAAAAACTTTTAGAAAAAAATGATTTCACTTTGAAAATTTAGATTTTTTCTCAAATTATTAAAGCGTTGTATCGCTGTCTAACGGACAAACAATGTTACGAAACCCATAGAAATGGAAAAAAATGGATACACATTATTAAAATCTCCATAAAATATCTGATAATTTAATGTCTAATAATCATTTTTGACCTCAAAATGACTTTTTTTCTAAATATTCATTTAATTATTTATTTATTCATAAGCAAGCCGTAATCAATAATGATAGTGATTATTTCAGGCTCTTGTCAAGCTTATTCATAGTTAATATTAAAGGGATAGTAATTTTATAATAATCATAGCAGCTGCACGAATTTCGTTTCTGAAAAAAAAGAGCTGAAAAAAAGCATTCGAACATTAAATACAATGTTCATCATCTAGTTCATCATATTAATGTCTATTTGACCACCAGTCAAGCTCAAAATTCTTGCACAAGGTTGAAAGTTATACTCATTTAAAACCGTAAAAAGTTAAATTAATAAAATAGCAATAAAAAAAATTTAAAAAAATATGGTTGTACAGGCGATCAAATGGTCAGACTACATAGATAAAGGATAAGGATTATGCAAGAAAATAGTTATTGAAATCAAATTGAGAAAATTCAGTAATGTCATAAAAAGCTGAAGCTAAATAGATCTCCGAAACCGCTGAACCTGCCTTCCTAAATATTTTATCAGTTCTTCATTTTGTCAATATAAGTAAAATGTTGTTTGAATTATTAAAATCGGACGCTCGTTCTCTTAAAAACTTTTGAATAAATGAGATCGGTTGAACCGTGATTCCGAAATAGTCGACGAAAATTTGTATCGATTACTATAACACACATACATCGATTTTTTCTAAGGTATGCCAAAATGTTCAGAAACTTTTGAAACGTACAGATATGCAAACATTTTCATTTACAATATTTTTGCGATTACTATAACTTACCCTACGGGAAGTTAATACATTTAAACAAATTTTCTAAATCTGATTTATATGTAAGGTAGAATGGAGCACAACGGTCCAATTTGACTTAAGTACAATAATATTGTGGAGACCAAACCAATCCTATCACAACAAATAACACATATCAAACAAACATCTGACTAAGTTCAGTAAAACCTACAGCTAATTCATCTTTGTATAAATATGTTTTACTTGTCACCTGGTGCTTTTTTCCTCATAGGCGGAGTAAACCCTGGATAAAGCCAGGAGGCCAATATCATATTTTTCATTATAATTGGATTTTACGAAATAATAGCTACATTACTCAACCAATGCAAAATATAAATTTCATGGGTACATTTTTACAGAGATAACACTGTATATAAAATATATAATACAATCGACCAAAAAACGATTTTTTACGGATGAACATTTAAATTGCATACTATCCATTAAGAAAATGTTTTACATTTGGACCGCGACTAAACCTAAAAGTTAAATTGAAACCAAATTTTCAGCACTTACAAAAGATGTGTTGAAAACCGCGCTTAGTTGTCAACCTAATGTAATACCATTACAAAAATTTGAAATAATTTACAATACTTCATTCATTTTTTTAAGATGACTATGTATTTATTCAAATATTGAAACTCTCGTTACTAACAATATTTGACCTTTTTTTTAAATAAATGAACAAAACACCATTGGTAAATTGAAATATATTATGTAGGTATTGAGATTAACGATATGAAATATTACAAATTACTGCAAAAGACAACACCATAATATATAATTTGCTGATCATTCTATACGCAAGAACTTTTTTTTGTTATAATTTAATTTTGTTAATCAAGACTTTAATGTCTTATTTACAAAATATACAAAAGAACTGCAAAATATTTTGAATCCTTGCAAAAAATACTAGCTTGTAAACACTTAAGAGAAATTCATGAAACACTTATGTTTAACTTATTTTCACATTTAAATGCTTTATATTCTGTAGATTTTAAGACAATTTTTAGCCCAGAAAAAAAAGTATGCAACGCAAAGTATTACCGCAAGAAATGGCAAAAAATATATTCGATCTAATAATGGAATATTAAGTTAAAAAATGATAAATTATTAATATTTTAATTAGTTTGCAGATAGTAGAATATAGAGATTAAACAAATGTTTTGAACACCTAGTAGCTAAGTTATTACTCCCATAAAATTACACAACTTTCAATCCACGTTCATCATATTAGATCCAATGAGCCATAGATTTCGATAAGACATTTTAAGATTGTGATTTTATAGCTAGATCCGTACAACATTTTATATTTATATTGAATTATATGAAAATATAACTCTTGTTTCGTTCATAAATAAGCTATTCATGTGGCCCATGCTTTAGTTATTTGCTTTGCTTATATTAGTCGATGCATTTATTTACACACGCACGAATTCGAGAGTATCTCGGAAACCACTACAGCCAAAAGTGGCGTCTCTCGGTTTATTTGTATTAATTCTCAACTCAGTTCGATTCTCGGTGCGATAAATAAATGTGGCGAGGAAGGGAATGCATTTCAAATCGACGAAACGTGTGCGCGTGCGGGCCTTGCGCAAAGTACATATGGAAAACAGCCGGCCGGCAGGGAATAGATTCACTTTACTATCTCGTTTTAGACTAATGGAATGATATACTTCGATCAGCAGATACTACAATAGTCCAAGCACGTAGTCCAAAATAGAATTCAATTTTCGAAAATACTCAAACAAATTGGCAGCAAATTTTTAAAATCAAGCTTAACCATGACTTAAGGAAATAGGTTAAACGCAACTTTGCTTCGTAAAGAGTACTCAACTCTATACGAGGATCCGAAAGACAAGTAACTAGTGGGGTACATAGCATTGTGCCTTTAGGCAAATTGCTGGAACTTCCCACACCGTAATTAAAAATCTTGGTATGGAACCCAAAAAAATTTACACAACATGTGTACACATTATTAAAATCTCTATAAAATATCTGATAATTTGATGTACATTTGTCCAATTAACATTTTTGACCGCCAAATAACATTATTTTTTAACTAATTTTTATTGAGAGTCCATAACCGCTGAACCGCCTTCCCAAAATTTTAATCAGTTCTTCATCTTGCCAATACAAGTAAAATGTTTTTTGAATTATTAAAATTGCCCCGTTTCTTCGAAACGGCTAGACCTGCCTTCGCCAAAAACTAATCAGAACGTCTCCTTATCTATACGAATCGAATGTTTTCTCAATTATTCAAATCGGTTGATCGATGTTCCCGAAATCATCGACGAAAATTTGTATCCGCAAACACACACATATACATCCATTTTTTCTAAGGTATGTCAAAATATTCAGAAATCTTTCAAACGTAAAGATATATAAAAAATTTCATTTTCGATTTTTTGCGATTAGAACTTACCCTACGAAAAGTTAAAAATGTGAAAGAAAATGAGGCATAAGATATAACGACCAAGTAGTAAATACGAAAATCTTACGAAAAAGATTAAAAAAAAAACTAGCTAAAATCTACATTGCTAATTAATGTAACTAATGTAAGAGCCTAATCAAAAAATGTTGGATCAAGGATAATGCAGACGATTGGCAACTTGAACGGACAACGATATGTTTTAAGATATTTCAATCATCAATAAAAATGAGTTGAGAAATTGAAAAGTGCGCTAAATAAACTAAAAATTACAATAGAAATTAGAATTACCAATAGTTTACTCATAGTGATAAATCTTAAAGGAAAGACCAACACAGAACATGTCAACCATGGACGACACCCGTTCGGTGTCGTCCATGAACGACACTCGTAGAGAAAGGGTTAAAAAACGAATGCCTACAATAATTAAAAAATTATTTATTGTTGATTAATTTAAAAGCCATTATTTATTACCATATTATCGTGACCCAATTATTAATTATATATTTTTTTTAAATATTTGTGACAAAAACAACCCGTTTTACTGACTCTATATTAGACGATGCATTTTCTACATTGCTTATTTCTCACGATCAAAAGGCAAAAAGCTCGAGCTGTTTTTTAGGATGAGAATATAAACGTCAAATATAAAAAACTGTAATTTGAGCGAACAGCAAAGCTTGTGAAAATATCTGTCTACCCTGCTTCTAATAGAATTATGATTTGAATAATAATTTATAAATGTTAATTTTTTCCACAAATATTGTAAAAATCAAATGCAAAAAATTACATTTTTTCAAATTATGTGACCACTTACGTTCAGCTCATACTGGTTCATCATTAGTTTTAATTAAATTTTCTTAAAGAAAAACGTCCTGCTAAATATTACGTAAATAAAAACCCAAACTTATTGTTTGCTTAAGAAAAAATTTAATAGCTCTAAATATAGAAAACTGTTAAACTCTGAATTATTAATATATTCAAAATGCAATATTTCAATGCCCGACTGCTTGTCTGATTATAAACAAATCAATAGTTTATTGCTGATTGTTATTAATGATTTATAAATTGAATATATTATGTTAATCAGAGAAACGGCATAATATCAGATAATAAAGACACTGCACGTGGCTTAATTATAAACAAGAAGTTGGTATAAAAGTAAATCCGAATCATACTTAATATTAATTATTATAAGTTTTTACATGTTATAGATTGTTACTGAAAACATCAATATTATATGCAGTATTTTGAAAATTATCTGTATGCACAAAAACAAAATATATTTAATCATTGCAAAAAGATATTAGCATGTAAACACTTATGAGTAAATATGTGAGGAAATAATTATTTTTCTCTTTTAAAAACATTATATTCTGTAGATATTGAGATTAACGATATGAAATATTACTACTAAAGAAAACACCATAATATGCAATTTGCTGATTATTTCTATACACAAGAACTGGTAAAATATTTTGAATCATTGCAAAAATACTAACAGGTAAACACTAATGAGTAAATACGTGAAATAAGTGTTGAACATATTTTCCTTTATAATTGCTTCATATTCTGTAGATTTTAAGACATCCTTAATTTGATTTTATTCGTTTCATTAAGGAAAAATCATGTGACCAATAGGTGGATTTACAATCGTTCAGATACTACTTTATTTACTTAATTAACTATGGGTTTGTGTTTCACTATTCGAAGATCGTAAAAATTTAATTATATAACAGTTACCCAACATTTTCTGTAATTTTAATGTGAACGCATTTAACTGATTTCTTTACATTTAATTTTAAATTCATGATTGAAATAAGCAAAGCTTTTCTGCTCGAGTTTTTTCAGTAAATCAAATGGCAGCAAAAAAGTTTCATCGAATCATCACAAATTCGTTGTTGACATGCCCGTCTTTATACCTACTTTGCAAAGGTTTCTTTTCCTTTCAAGTTCCGTTTTAGAAAAATAAGATATGCCCTCAGTAACTGAATGTATATCGACAGATATTAAATTATTCATGTGTAGTAGAAGTTCAAAATGCGTATTGTGATGTGGGTAGACAGCGACGATCTTTCAGTATAAGATGTTTTAAGCGAAAAAATCAAAATATTTCTAATATATAATGAGTGGCATTACATTATATAAATATAAAATATATTGTATTATATTGTGGAAAACGATAATAACATTTGGAATAAAATATTCAAAGCATTAAAAACAATATACTTCATTGATAACTGAAGAAGAACTGGCTGGTGTTTACATTTAGTGTCTAGAGTAGAGTAATTTGTAACCACAATCCAAAAAACTTGAAAATTATTAGAAAATTGTAGGAATATAATAGTCCAGTTCGATGTTATACAAATTTAATTATATTTAAGTAAATTAAAAAATATATAAAAACATCAGTTTTTAACTGAAAGTTTGACGAAAATGGTAAAATGAGAAACCTATAGTACCAGATTTTATATCCAGTCTATTACTCGATTGAATATATGAATGCAATTAATATAAACTAATTTCCCTAAAATTGAATATAATAAATTAATATAAACTAAATGACAAAAATTGAAGCGCGTAAGCGCCGCGTCGCCGTCTAACTGATAACCATTGGTACGGAACACATAGAAATGAAAACAAAATTTATACTTATTGTTAAAATCTCTATAAAATATCTGATCATTTGATGTGCATATGTCTAAAGATGATTTTTGACCGCCAAATGGCATTTTTTTTTTACTTTTTCGCTATTTCTCCGAAACCGCTAAACCAGCCTTCATAAAAATTTATTCAGTTCTTCATCTTGTCAATACAAATAAAATGTTTTTTTAATTATTAAAATCGGACGCTCCGTTCTCTTAAAAATTGAGTAACCGTTTGTTGCACTTTTTTCCCCGTATCTTCGAAACGACTATACCTGCCTATGCCAAAAACTAATCAGCACGTCTCCTTATCAATAGCAATCGAATGTTTTTTGAATAAATGAAATCGGCTGAACCGCGTTCCCGAAACCGTCGACAAAAATTTGTATCCGCACACACACATATACACACATACATCCATTTTTTTTAAGGTATGCCAAAATGTTCTGAGGGTTTTGAAAAGTAAAGATATATAAAAATTTTCATTTTCGATTTTTTTGCGATTACTATAACTTACCCTACGGGATGTTAAAAAGCAAAATAAATATAATTGATAAAAAGATCAACTAAACACGAAGTTTTTTCAAAAAAATTAAATTGTTTAATAATTATTATTTTACTAAATGTTTACAAAATTAATTAAATAACTAGAAAAACAGCGTAGGTTCCAACCAAAAAAATAAGACTAAGAACATATAATTATAAGTTATAATAATATGTTCTATAATATTTTATAATTATAAATTATAAAATATAACATAAGACCAATAATTTTTTAAATAGATTTGTTAAAAAAATATGCATTCTATATGAGGTCCATTTGCTCTGTACTGTATCGTAAATATAACCTCCTTGCTGAATAATATATAAATTATTCTTTACAAAAATATCAAAACATTCCAAGTTCATATTAAAAAATGTAAGATCGAACTCGTACATTGTTTTATTAAAATACTATTAAAAATTTAACTATCCTTTTTTTCACAAATTATATACTAATAAATTTTTAATATATGCATAAAAATCATGTAACTTCTGCGTAGAGAATTCTCAAATAAATTAGTTTAGATACTTACTGCTCCAAGCAGATTTATTTTTGTAGATATCGCCAAGTTCAGAATTAGCGCGAGTGAACTCTTTCAACCCTTGACTTCAAAATCTTGGTAACTTGTTAAAAATATTAATTTTGCTTAAAATATTTATTTCATGGTTAATACCATGCATTTTTAATTAAATCAACAAATTATTCTCAAGAGATTAAATCAGCCCAAAAATGTGTGCAAATTTTAACGTGTGTCCAATTAAAGCACTTGTACACTACTGAGAAACAATTCTTAAATAATTCGATTCGATTCGATTGTGATAAATTTGCAATCGGAGCCACATCCCCGGAATGCTGATTTGAAGCAATATTTATAATTAATTTGAAACAAATGTTTACAACAATAATTGTTCACATGAGCCTCTTGTTATGAGTTTATTTTAAGATTCTATTGTCTGTGTCAGTAGCTGGAACTGGTATATCCGCTCGTATGTTATTGAATATGAATATCGACAGATTGTTATAGAATTCAAAAAAGCGTATTTGTTAGTGAAACATATCCTGTCTTGAGAATTGATTTATAACATTTGTTCAATAGAGCAAACATTATTTTTGCTGTTGGCTAGAGTTGAGCATTCCTCAAACCAACTTTAGAGTTGAATTAATATTAAGGTAAATGTTGTAGTATGCGACAACAATTTGTGATTCAGTGGGTATTTGAAAAACGTCGATCAAATAAAGCACCTTCATTCTATAAATCCGTGTAAAAAAATAAAAAAGCGATAATCCGAGAAATATGACAACAGCGTGTGACGCATTTAAAGAACCGAATAAACGTTCATTTATCTGGTTATTGTGTTAATGCGCTGTTATCGCCTGATGTTGCTTTGAAGTCAATTCATTATTTCCAGATTTTTAAATTTTATACATAATACATATATCGACTAATTATTAGAAATATTTCATATGTCAAATATTGACTTACGATCTTATTGTTAGTATAAATATAAATTTTTAGCAGCAATCAGAACTTGAAGAGTTCTATGAACTATTGTGCTGTCTAGCTGTCTTCATAAACTGCATCGCATATTATGGATGACAACCCAAACGGTGGTCTATGTGATGAATTTATTATTACAATTTTTTTTTATACCTACTAATAAATTTTTTATTAATGCAGCAATGTCAAGTAAGGGCTAATTTCACTTGGAAACATATTGTTATCTATATTTCCACCAAGAAGTGAAAACCGATGTGAACTCTATCTGTTCGAGCCGGGACACTATTTCTAACAACTAGGTGATGAGAGAGCCACCAACTTCCCTATACAAAATAAAATGCAACTATTATGCTATTTTATACTAATAGTAAAAGAACAATCTATGTATATAAGGAAGAGTTCTTGCGGAATGTTGCTGAGGAATGCTGAAATTTTTATCAATGTTTGTGACGTTATATTATACCCGATACTGGAGTATAACAGTATTATAAAGTGCAAATCTCATATTGCAATAGTGAAACTCGATATATTTAAGAACGCCCGCGCAAACGACTGTGTCGGCCTGTTACAATATAAACTAGTGGTGCATGGCATCGTGCCTTAAAGCAAATTGCTGGAACTTAACTAAACTATTAAAAAAACTTTGAAAAAATTAGATTTTTGAGAAATTTTTAAATTTTTGAAAACATTTTTTTTTTGAAAAATTCGATTTTTTTGTATTTTAATATTT